ATATAAATTAATGTTTTTAACTCTTAATTGTAAAAAAAAATCTGTGTTTGTTTTAATATTTATGGAAGTTCTAAGGTAGGGGAATTGAAAAAGGAAAAACCTGGGTACTCAAGAGGATAAAACTGTTGGGGGGGGGGCACTAGGGTGGCCAGTTTTTTTTTCAGGGTGGGCCATGGCCCCCCCTGCCACCCCCCCTGCTGGCACCCCTGGACAGAAGTTTCTCACAGGTCTGCGCCAAGTATTGTGTGAAAGATTAGAACTTTGTGGAGATGTTTATGAAGAAAAGAGGGCAAAATAAACATTATTTTGCTTTGACTTCTCTGAGCAGTTATGGAATAAGTTCTAACTGGGGGCAGTGCATGACACAGGGTCTAAGCAGGTGGTATGAAAAAAACTACGTAAATTTTGTCACACACACGTAAGCAAGTCGTGAGATGTGAGAATGACCCTTCTCAATGGTTATAAATCAAAGTTAAATCTGCTTTTAGTTTCTCAGTATTCACTTGATCTTCAGTTGAGCATTGTTGTGCTTCTTGCCCATACATGTCAACCTCTTCGAATATTTACCTGTATAAAAAGCCTAAAAAATCCGTAAATTTTGCAAAAAAAATGCGTACAAGTCACCCGCGGGGGGTGGGGGGGGGTGTCTGTTGGCTGCGGACATGACAGCGCCTGCTGCGAAGCAGGAGGAAAGGACAGCAGAAAAAGTTCAAAACTTATTTTTAGCTGCAGAACAGGTTGGAAGATGGCTGTATGATGTTATTTATTGTTTTGTAAATCATCCTGCAGGCTCTGACATGTTAGATAAATTTGAAAATGAAGTTTTGAAAAAATCTGTAAGACTTGAAAAAATCTGTGAGACAGCTCTATAAGTCCATATATCTGTAAAATGACGTCAAATCCTTATAACTTAGGGACAATGCGTACAAGCTGACATGTATGCATGTTTCCATTCCTCCATCTGCCTTATTATTCTTGGAAGTTTTTTGCTGCCACATAGCGTTTTGTTTAGTTTAATAAAGCTTAGTTTTATTCTTTTTCTTTTTGAGCTCCTTGGGTCAGTCTGCATTCTTGGATCCAACTTATTACAAACTGTGACAAACTCCTTATATAACAGATTTATATCAGTTTTGTGACTCACCTGTGTTCCATGTGTTGTTACAGGAGGCCCAAGGCAGATCCAAGGTGAAGGAGTTAAACAGGAAGAAGATGGCCCAGGCTAACACAACAATGTAGTAGACGTTTAGGAGAGCAACAATAACCTGGGTGGCATAACCCACCCCTGGTACATAAAGGGAAGGAAAAAAGAAAGAGAGAAAGGTCAACTATAAAAGATTATTTATTGTGTGCAGAAGAGTTTTCTGATTAGATTCATTCACTTCAGTCACCTGAAGCATAGATCTTTGTATTTCATTTAAAATGATTCTCAGAAACAAATATTTTGTTCTGGTTAAAACTTTGATTTGGCTCCTCTGCAGGTTTCTCCTTCTGAATGCTGACTCACTAGAAAGCAGAATGTTACTAAAAATTTTCCATGCACGTGGCTTCCCAGTGATTACATCTAAATGTGTCACAGAAATAAAGACTGCCAGGATCACACATACCTCATCATGCTGCACACTTACAAACTCATTGCACAGACATGTCTGAAATTCCTCTCTAAACCCACAATATTGCACAAACGCGTTTAGCTATGTTTCCACGATTGTCCATAATCCCTTGAGAAGAAGCAGTTCATTATTTCTTAATAAAATTCACTTCATGATAAAAAGAAATCACACAGCATCACAACGTAACCTTATACTAAAAACAATACATTTTTGTTGTAAAAGTTTTACCTTCAAACAATGGACAAACTTTCCTCCAGCAAGTGATTCCACCCTCACTGGTGTACTGACCCAAAGCTGTCTCCAGGAAGAAGACCGGGATCCCACAAGCAAACAAGAAGATGAGGTATGGGATGAAAAAGGCACCTGTACAGCCAAAAAATGCTGAGAATCACACTAAAGCAAGAAATTGTCTTTAATTTAAAATTTTAACTTACTTGAAAAAAATACAAGCGTGTTAGTATGAAACGTTGACATTTCAATAAAGCTTTTTGTCCATCCATCCATCCATCCATCCATCCATCCATCCATCCATCCATCCATCCATCCATCCATCCATCCATCCATCCATCCATCCATCCATCCACGGGGGTCACTGGTGCCCCATATCCAGCAGTCACAGTGCGAGGTGCGGGGTACACCCTGGACAGGTCTCCAGTCCATCACAGGGCCACACATAGAGACAAACGAGACAAACGAGACAAACAACCATCCACTCTCTCACCTAGGGACAATTTAGAGTTATCAAATAACCTAACAGTCATGTTTTTGGTCTGTGGGAGGAAGCCGGAATACCCAGAGAGAACCCACACATGCACACTGAGAACTTGTAAACTCTACCCAGAAAGGTCCCCGGACCTGGGGCCTCATGTATCAACGGTGCGTACGCACAAAAACCTTGCGTACGTCATTATCCACGCAAAACTCTGGATGTATCAAAACTCAACTGAACGTGGAAATGTGCGCTGCACCACGCCAACTCCAGGGCTGGTGTCACACGTTTCTGTGGTTCTGGTTCTGTTGGAGACACTTAGAGGTGATTCTGAGAAACTGTTCATGATGTGAAAATGATTGTTGTTCACACCAGACACACATGATTAACAATTATTACATCCACATGATTAACAATTATTACATCCTCATGGACGCAGTTAAATAAAGGACATGCAAAGTTGTGCCAAAAATACATTTAACAGGAACAGATTCAGACTTACTGGAGGATATAATAAATAGTGAAACACACAGAGCTTTTATTTATAAACAGATATAATTTTCTGATGACAAGTGGCTCATCAGCTGTTTTGAGGAAAAAAAATCATTTTTCATGTGAACTCTACTGAGACGCAGAGACTTGTTTCTTAATATCAGCTATATAAACTAAGATCTATGTTCTACCAAACATTTAAGTTCCTCTGTATTTACAGTAATTATGTTAACTAACTCGTGTGCAAAGTTAATATTTTCAGACTCAGAATGGATGGATGAGCCGGTTGCGCAACACAGCAGCGTGCACACAACTCACTCGTTCTTTGCGTGATAAACATATTTTATTTCCTATTTTTACTTAGGTTTGTTTTTCACACTCACATTATATTAAATTCATTATTTTTATGACATTAGAAATCATTTCTGATCACAGGGATCAAACGTGTCCTTCACACATGCAGGAAGTAATTTTCATCTGTTTAACATGTTAATGAAGACGTGTCAGGGGAGGAGTCTTTCCTGCGCTCAGTTCCACGTTAATTGTGATGTACAAAAGAAATGTGCGTGGATTCAGACGTACGCACAGTTTGATACATCTGGATGTTTTTGTGCATACGCCGTTTTCTGGATTTGACCATACGTCAGGTTTCAGTAAGAAATCCACACAAGTCTTTGTACATGAGGCCCCTGGATTTGTTCTATACTTAGATCTGTCTTAATATATTTGATCAATTGACTGTTCTGATTTGTTTTTTTCATCACAGATTGTTCACTTTAAAGTGTGATAAATCCACACAATCCATTTTTGGAGTTGCCTAAATGCTCCAAAATGTTTGCAAATACTCTTCTCATTCCGCAAATGTTCTTATGAACGTCAAAACAAGTTTCAAAAACCTATTCCTCTGTCACTAAGTTTTTTTTAGAACCTATGGTTTTCTTTCTAAACACCCTCAAACTTCCATTGAGTCTTGAAGCCTGCGAGGGGACATGGGGGGATTTTTTTCTTTTGCGTTCCCACGCACTACTTTTGCGTTACCTCGCAATATTGTTTTGCATTCCCACACAAAAAATTGTTTTGTATATGAGCTGAATTAAATCAGACTTTTATTTTGAAATATCCAGTTACCAAAAACAGGATGTGTCACCACAAGTTCCTGAAATTGACATTGATGTTGTGTGGCTGCACTGTGTTAAAATATCAACATGTGACATACTTCCATGTGTGGCTGTGTGATATATTCATTCTGAAGCAGAATTAAAGTAGTAGACTAACTCGCTAATGGAGAGTAGGTGAATTTGTTAATAAACTGGCAGGCACAAAGTGTTAAAGGACTTTTGCGAGGGAACACAAAAAGAAAAAAAATCCCCCATGTCCCCTCGCGGGCTCCGTAAGTCTGAGCTCAAATATTGAAAGCTCAAGGCCTTTTTTAATTTTGCCAGATCTTCCACATTAAACATTGTAGAAAAATGTAAATGTACATATTTACATGTATTTTTCAACATGACTTATAGTTTTCACACAGTGACTGTCTGAGACTTGCTTTCTTCTCTGTATTTTTCTCTTGTCTGGTTTTAGGACTGCTTTTTTTACTTTTTCAAAAAGTATAACCAATTTTGTGTGTTCGAATGTTGGGCAGTACCTGCACTGGCACACTTCCAAATTTCTTTGAAAACTTTCTAGCTTAACAAACTATTGCAGCTTTTCTTACTGAGTTTTAAATATAAGTGGAAAAAACTGCTAAATAAACAGCACTTACCTCCTCCATTTTTATAACACAGGTAGGGAAAACGCCAGACATTTCCAAGACCGATAATTTCTCCAGCTACTGACAGAACAAACTCTATCTTGTTGCTCCACTGACCCCTGTCAGTCATCTTCTCCTCGATGTTCGGCGTGATGTCCAGAGGCCTGCTGTGCCCGTTGGAAGGCTCCACCTTGGGCATGTTCTCTACATCTCCCGTGTGACCTAAGAGTTAGAAGGTGACATGACCAAAAAGTGGAAAAAAAACATGTTGAGAAGAGAATAATTAGAACATGACAAAGGTGCAGTTTGTATGATTAGGACTGACAGAAATAAAATCTGTTTTAATATTAAAAGCAACCACTAAGTGTTTGAATTTCCCACCACAGTTTTCTTGGAATTTGGTCAGTAAGACCTAAAATATTATCATCAGTATTTACTGTATATATTATATTCAGATTTAAAGTGTTGCTTTATGTGCATTTACATCCAGCTTCACTCTTCTGTGATTCTAATTTATATTATATACAGCGGGTAAAATAAGTATTGAACACGTCACCATTTTTTCTCAGTAAATATATTACTAGAGGTGCTAATGACATGAAATTTTCACCAGATGTTGGTAACAACCCAAGTGATCCATACATACAAAGA